ATTATAAGATGAAAAACAATTTCCATGAGACTCTATCACCTATAATGAAGACTCTTTTAAAAGTCTCTTAATTGTGTCATCAGATTTGCAGATGTTCTCTATTCTCTGTAAAACATATTGGTGGATGCCTAAAACATAATAAACCTTCTCTATAAGCCTGGGCCCTTCTGCTCCCTTAAGTTAAGCTACATGACTGCTAAAAGCCAGTTGTTCTTATTAACAGATTTATTCTAGTTGTTTTCTGCAATTGCACAATATAATGAAATACGTTGCAAACTGATAAAATATAAAAGTAAAAAAGAGAGTTGTGATTTTTATGAAAACTAAAAAATACTCTGAAAATACTCAAAAAAGGGAAGTCACTCAAAAAAATTGCTGTTGAATTCGATGTAAGATTAATTGTAAAAGGCTGGAGGAGAAAAAACAGAAAAATCTCAGATAGCCTGTACATTTTTATTCCACTTTAAAAATGATCACTACAGAAATGAACTGTGGTTGTATTTTTTGCAGATTCTAATCAGTAGACTCTTACTCAAAGAAAAAACTTGGTTTGACATTAGAAGACTTGGTGAATGGACATACACGTAAAATTTTAGGGTACAACAAAACATTCAAGAGTGTGCATGATTTGTTTTATGATTCTTCACTTTTAACTGACTTTTTAAGGTAATCAACAAGCTACTAGCCAAGTACACATTCAATATCTTCTGCACTTTATTTGGGCAAGGCCACTATCTTTTCTTTTGGGCTTACTGAATGAGTCATTTCATGGGAGTTTCTGTATAGGAAGAGCTGGATGGCTGGGTGGATTTTCTGTTAGGGAACCATTGACCGAAACCACCCACCCTGGCCAGGCACGTTAATAAGTGCTTGCATGAGTTGTCTCACAACAGGAGGTCCTGATAAGGAACACAGTGCTGCCACCAAAAACTAACCAGGAGAATTCAGGAGGGGCCGAAAGGAGGGAGGAGATGTCATAGTACATCCTGCCCACCTCCCAGAAACCCTCATGCTAGAATCCACCTTGGCTGAGAGAGACGCACACCACCAGTAAGGACCCTGAGTCAGACCAAATATGGGCACAAACAAGATGACTGGCCAGAGACAACCTGGAAAGCTAACCCATTACCATAAAACCTAGGACTGCGAGCCACACGGCAGAGCAGTTCTCCTGGGTTCCCTTACCCTGCTGCTCTCTGCCTGGGCGCCCCTTCCCAATAAAGTTTTTTGCTTTGTCAGCACGTGTGTCTCCTCGGACAATTCATTTCTGAGTGTTAGACAAGAGCACAGTTCCGGGCCTGGGAAGGGGCCCCTCTTCCAGTAACATTTCTGCTCCCATCATACAAGGTGAAAATAGTAGAAACCTTGTCGAGAGTAACTCAATGGTCAGAAAGCTGTGAAGGCATATGGTAGTTCCACCAGTGGTGTTCTGATTTTCCAGCATAAAGAATCCCAAACTTTATAACACCCCATTAGGTATAAATATGAGAGCCACTCCTCACAGAAAGGAAAGCTTACATTTGTGTTTATGGAGGATTTAAGGAAAGTATTCTGACAACTTTCTTTGATGATTTGGGTCTTAATCTGACTCTGTATCCTCAGCTGCAGTATTTTTCAGGGGAGATCTCCCTTGTACTACAGAAATATAATACCTGAGGTGCACCAAAATGGAGAAGTCAGTCAGTGGTATTTTTACATTTAAAAAATAGAATAAAGTTAAAAAGCAGAAGAATATTCATGTCATATATAATTACCAATTTAATATAGTGTTATTTTTAGAACTGTAAGCCAGCCAAAAAGATATCGGTATAGATACAACCCTAATGACCAATTTCACCATTGCCTTTGGAATCTATACAGTCATTACAACAGGAATGAATAACTGTTGGAGCTGATTTCAGATAATACCACCTTTAATCCTGCATTTCCCTAATCATTCTCTTTATTGCTGTTGCAGACGTGGAAAACATCAAGATACACCAAAGGTAAAGTAGGGTGGAGCAGTTGGGAGGGGAGGAATCCCTGTGTTAGCAACCTCCACAGAGAAGGAGTTATATTCAAGTAAGGGCAGTCTTCCAGTCACCTAGGATAAATAATCATCAAAATGATGAATAGTCCCAGGATTTTCCTTTTCTAACACAAAGAGTGACAATTTACTTAAATTAAAAAAAAACAAAACAAAACACCACATCCACTGAAAATTCACCATAGAGGTATCCATAACAAAAATGATGATACTTTAAATCAGAAATATTTTGAGCCTGGTCTGAGATGATGAAATATTTCACTAATTACTACGCAGTACATTCTTAGCTTTGTCTTTACCCCATTTCTCAAGGACAAGTTTCTTCCACAAGGACAGTTGCTGAAGCATTTACTTTTATTGACAGTGGAAGTCCCAACCACCTACTGTAATTTTGTAAGGTCAGCTGCCGGAGATCTTTGCTTAATTTACACCTTTTCCCCAAGCTGTGCCTTAAGGTCTGCCTTATTTTTCTGTTTGAACTTCACAGAAAATAGTCTGTTAGAATGAAACAAATTTTAAAAGATACTGATATACTTCCCTCCAACCAATATTTTTCAGGCAAACTTACTGCTCTTTTCTTCCCTTTAAGAATGCCACCTAAAATCATGAAACACTAATTAATTATTAAAGCCAAAACACACTTTATTTGCTTAAATGTCCCTTGAAGGAACATGCCTTTTTTTTTTTAATTTTTATTTTATATTGAGAACAGTTGATTAACAATGTTGGATTAGTTTCAGGAGTACAGAAATGTGATTCAGTTATACACATACATATATCTATTCTTTTTCAAATTCTTTTCCCATTTAGGTTATTACAGAATATTGAGCAGAGTTCCCTGTGCTATACAACTGGTCCTTGTTGGTTATCCATTTTAAATATAGCTGTGTGTACATGTCAATCCTAAACTCCCAATCTATCCTTCCCCTCCACCCTTCCCCCCTGGTAACCATAAGTTCATTGCCTAGGTCTGTGAGTCTGTTTCTGTTTTGTGCATATGTTCATTTGTATCATTTTTTTTGGGGGGGGGGGCATGCCTTTTTAAAAATAACATTTCCTCATTTCAAAAATAATACATGCTCATCGTGGAACTCTGAAGCACAATAGAAAGTATAAAGAAAAAAATTAAACCATAATCTCACCAACCAGAGATAAGCACTGGAAATATCTGCATAAACTGGCTTGCAGTGAAAAAATGATTATTAAATCT